AATCACCAGCTAACTTGATTTTCTTGTTTTAACAGAGGCAACTGAAAAAGAAGTTTCCTGTGGAGAACCATTTTCGCAAAGAAGATAGAGTGCTTCCCAGATTTGGAGGTATGATTGGCAGTTTTTAGGTGATTAAAATGTACATATTTTTGTCACATTTAAATATAGGAATAGCCTGTTATTGTAAATATAATGCTTTAAGCGTATAATGGCATGCATAAAGTAGCATTACTGCATTTGTGGTGATGCTCATATTGCAGGGGCTTTCAAATAATCATGAATGATTATTATTATTACATAATGCATTATTGTAATGCATTTTTATGTTGGAAGAAAACATACAGCTGAACTTTAGTTGCAACTCTGGCCATTAACCCTCTGGTGGGACCTGTAAAAGGTGTTTTATCCAAACTGTATTTGTTTTGTTGTTCAAATATCATTTCTGTTGTTTGCAGCCCAGTTCATGGTGACTTCATTTCAGCTGAAAGGTCTGGACAAGTCAGTGTCTCGTCTAAGGTATCTGGAGAAATACTGTTCCAACCTGTTGCAGTGTGAAACAACTGTGTCACATTCCACAGAGGTTATTCAATTCTTCTTGCCAACTGAACAGGAGCTTCGGCCAGAATATACCCAGAACAGGTATGTAGATTAGCTTGCCAGACACATGTATAGTATGTACAGTAGTTCAGTTCATATTTCTGACTTGATCTGTTTATGGTTGCCAGAATTTAATGCTATATGAACCAGCTGGAAAGTGTTTGTGCAGTAAATGTCTGTTAAAGCTGCTCTCCTCTCCCTGCAGTGTGATGATTCTGCAATCAGACAACATCAACACTGTCAGAGGAGGACCTGACTTGGCGAATAAACATCTGAGCAATGGCAACGTGACCCAGCCTTTTGTATCCAAGACATATCGATGTGTGGCTCCATATGAGACCAAAGATACAAAGAACAGGCCATTTAAAGTAGCTGTGGATGAAAGACTGGATGTGCTGATCAAAGACAAAGCAGGTATGTATCTTCTATAAACAAGTGAAATGCAAGTGAATAGTTAAGTTCTTTACAGTCAATTCATATTTTTGTGTGGGCGTTGGTTCTGAACAGGTTGGTGGCTTGTTGAGAATGAGGATAAACGTCTAGCTTGGTTTCCTGCTCCCTACTTGGAGTTATGTGATGAGGAGGAGGAAGAGAATGAGGATGAGGATGAGTTTGATTCAGCAACCTTTGAAAGTAAGACACGGTAGTTACATAAACTTTCTGTTGCAATGAATCTCCAAAGATAACCTTGCTAATCAAACATTTTCTTGCTCCACTAGGTTCTCTGTACTGCGCTACAAGAAGTTACACCTCCAAAAAAGAGGATGAGCTCTCTCTTAGCATCGGCGCTGTTGTGGAGGTGTTACAGAGGTCTGATAATGGCTGGTGGCTTGTTAGGTAATTAAAGTTGTTAACTCAAATTGCACTGACATTCAAAGAATAATAGGAATTACAAACTATTGTAAGACAGATGTATGAATAGACATACATTTTTATAGATATATAGTTGCATGCGAAAGTTTGGGAACCCCTTGCAGAATCTGTGAAAATGTTAATAATTTTAACAAAATAAGAGAGATCATATAAAATGCATGTTATTTTTTATTTAGTACTGTCCTGAGTAAGATATTTTACATAATGTTTACATATAGTCCACAAGACAAAAAAATAGCTAACATTATTAAAATAACCCCCTTCAAAAGTTTGGGAACCCTTGGTTCTTAATACTGTGTGTGGTTACCTGGATGATCTACGACTGATTTTTTGTTTTGTGATGGTTGTTTATGAGTCCCTTGTTTGTTCTGAACAGTTAAACTGAGCACTGTTCTTCAGAAAAATCCTCCATGTCCTGCAGATTCTTCAGTTTTCCAGCATCTTTTGCATATCTGAACCCTTTCCAGCAGTGACTGTATGATTTTGAGATCCATCTTTTCACACTGAGGACCATTGAGGGACTCAAACACAACTATTAAAAAAAGGTTCAAACATTCACTGATGCTCCAGAAGGAAACACGATGCATTAAGAGCCGTGGGGTGAAAGTCTTGTGGATTATATGTAAATATCTTTTATGTAAAATATCTTACTCAGGACAGTACTAAATAAAAAATAACATGCATTTGGTGATCTCTCTTATTTTGTTAAAATTATTAACATTTTCACAGATTCTGCAAGGGGTTCCCAAACTTTCGCATGCCACTGT